TAAATAGGTTACATGTTTTTAATAATTGTAAAGCGCTTAGAGCTTTAAGGTAAGCGCTATATAAAAATGCCTAAATAAATAAATAAATATACACCAGCCACAGTAATTATAATGTTTTTAAAGACAAAACGTTGAAGAAATCACATTTCATTTATTAAGCTGCGGTGACAAAAATTAAGTCAAGTAGCCTAGAATTACGGAAAAGCTGAGGCATTGTACGAAGATTGAAGTCTTTGTGCGACTGACTGCCTCGTAGACCATTTCAATGTTGACTATCGCATCTAGAGATCCACACGATCTGTATAAACAAAAGATTTCCCTGGAATCCCGTATACATAATTTGAGAACAGTGTTTCTTTCAGGTAACGCCCCCCCCCCCCAACCCCCGAGAAAAATATTGACGACAATAAAGCGAAAATATATTTTGTAAAAAACCGAACTAGAATTACGGAAAAGCTGAGGCATTGTATGAAGATTTAAATCTTTGTGCGACTGACTGCCTCGTAGACCATTTCAATGTTGACTATCGCATCTAGAGATCCACCCGATCTGTATAAACAAAAGATTTCCCTGGAATCCCGTATACATAATTTGAGAACAGTGTTTCTTTCAGGTATCGCCCCCCCCCCCCCAACCCCCGAGAAAAATATTGACGACAATAAAGCGAAAATATATTTTGTAAAAAACCGACTAAAGTTTCTTGTATATAATTTTGTTTTTAAATAGTGACTGGCGCCTTTAAGTTTAACTAGTTATTACATTTATTGTAACATATGATATATCTTTAGGCTCAGTGTATTATTATTATTATTATTTAAAGCTAATCTTGTTAGAGGATCACAATATTAGATTATAAATATCGAACTGTTCCAAAAATTGGTGGCCCCTAACACTTTTAGGTTTTGTATCCCCCCCCCCACCCCTTTCCCCCAAAACCACATACATTCAAAGTTGATAATAAAAAAAAAAAAGTCTTCCCAGCACATCTTTAAGCCCTAAAATATCCGAGGCCCACTACAGTCGTAGGGGTTGCGGCGCCCANATTATTATTATTATTTAAAGCTAATCTTGTTAGAGGATCACAATATTAGATTATAAATATCGAACTGTTCCAAAAATTGGTGGCCCCTAACACTTTTAGGTTTTGGATCCCCCCCCCCACCCCTTTCCCCCAAAACCACATACATTCAAAGTTGATAATAAAAAAAAAAAAGTCTTCACAGCACATCTTTAAGCCCTAAAATATCCGAGGCCCACTACAGTCGTAGGGGTTGCGGCGCCCAAACGACTGCTCTGGGTCAGGTGGCGCGTGCATTTTTAACTAGCATCTCTTTCGCTGCTCTCTAGTTAAAGAATGCAGCACAACTCAATTCGGGTCTGTGCTAAAATGCATTCTTGCATATTGAATTTATCCCAAGAAAAATTCAGAGGACAACAAATTAATATTAAATATTAAAGCTAGGGCAAAAAGCATACCCTTAAGGTTACCACAACTGGAGAGAATTTATTTCATGTTGGGCCAGGGCCGGCCCGACGGTTGATGGCGCCCTGCGCAAGCTTAACTTTGGTGCCCCTTATAATAAGTGTACTCGTTAAAGGAAAAAGCTAGTTATTCGGTAATGAGTTTATTACATATGTTTTTGTTTATTGTTTGTTTAAAAAAAACACAATAACATAGGTAATAAACTCATTACCGAACAAATAGTTTTTTTCTCCTTAAATGATTATACTTATAAGGGGTGCCAAAGTTAAGCCTTAGGTAAACTTTCGCCCTGTGTGAAGCACCCGTTTGGCGCCTTGTATCCAAATTAAGAATGCAGCTTTCATTGTATGAAAACTCATTGTATGAAAAGCAATTGTACGAAAAGTTAGAATACCGTTTCTCGACCCCGGACCCGAGGTTCACATTTCACTTATAATAAACGAAGGGAATTTAAATATTTACAGGGCACAGGTCGCACACCCTAAAGGTCGGCCCTGAGCTAGAGATGTCCCTGGTCGTTATTATGACTTATTTTGGCACTTCCCGCCCGAAAGTCTGAAATTCTCCCTTTCATGTGGTATGAAAGAAACACCAAATTCAATTATGCGACAACATTTCTAAGGTGACCACTTCCACCCGCTCTTGCTCAAGAATCTCCGGCACCATCAATTTATGCTCCCCTTTCCCTCGTGCCGACCAATGTGACAGTACGGGGTTGAATCTAAGCTTGTTCCACATGATTGCTCTCGGTCACGCCCGTGTGAATCCAGCTAATCATCCATCCATCCCTGTGTATAGTTACAGCCCATGTTGAGCGTTGGCCTGCCCCACTACTTCTTTCCACACAGACCTTACTAATGCTTTTCTTTTCCATGCTTGGATTCCCAGCTGCTGTAGATCTTTTTCCACATCATCCATCTAAGCCTAGGTCTGCCTCTGAGCCGTTTTCCTCTGGGGTTTTGATGATGTACCCTCTTCACTCCTGTGTCATTTGGCATTCTTTCTAAGTGTCATGGCCAGTGTAATCTACCCTTTTTATTTCTCCTACTAGCGTCGGATCCTGATATAGACTGCTAAATTCATGGTTGGTTCGTATTCTCCATTCATATTCATCCTTTGTTGGTCCATATATTTTCCGGAGAACTTTTCTCTCCCATTTAATAGGTTTTCTGTCGTTTTTTTCCCCCTTGTTTTGTTTTTGTTTTTTGTTAGGGTCACTTGCTTATGTTACAACTGGTCTGATTAAATTTTTATAAATAGTTTTGTAGTGATGCCTCTTCTAATTCAATAAAGGCTTTTGATATGTCTTTACTACTTTTCCCTAACAGTGTTATGTCATCAGCATATGAAAGATACTGAAGGGGTTGATTGTAGAGAGTCCCCATTGGTTGTGGATCTTGGATCTCCCTCAGAAAATATCCTGTTATTGTTCATCGGGTGTCAATATGTATGCGTCTTAAACTTAAATAGCATAAAAGACAGTGAGTCTCTCTGTCTTAGGCCTCGTCTAATCTGAAATTCCCTACAATGTTCTCCATGAACCTTGACTTTGCTTTTTTGAATTGTTGAATTTTTACATGCCTCAGTCCTGCCATTTGTTGGGTATGCAAACTCCTGCAGAGTCTCGTATAGATATTTTCTTTTAATGCTGTCACATGCCATTTTATAGTCCACATAGAGCTGATGTACTGGGATATTATATTCATAATATTTCTCTAATAGGCATCTGATGGTGAAAATCTGATCAGTCGTTGATCTGTTTTGTCTGAATCAACATTGGTAATCACCTAGTATTTCTTCAGTGTACCGTTGTAGTCTTTTGGCATTTAGTATTTGTCAGTATTTTGTATGTAACATTTAATAGGGAAATTCCTCTGTAGTTTGGGCATTGAAGTTTGGAACTTTTCTTGTCTATTGAATTCAGTTAATGCAACAATATAATGCCATAATGCCTCCCTTGGACTTTGAAAAATTCCTTCCCCGATTAAATATTCTAATAGAAATACTGCATTTTAAAAATTCTCTAAAATGCACCTTTCGATTTGTAAATAATCAAAAATTTCTTTGGGGAGAGGCTCCCCAGACATCCCTCTTTGCCACCAAAGAGCCATCAGCTGCTATGCTTCCCGATAAAAATGACATAGCTGTCCCTCATTGCCAGTTAGTGGCGAAGCTAGTCTCAGTGCAGCCCTGTGCGTGCCAAGACTTTTGCCGTGCTCCTTTTGACGATACAGACTCCACCTCTTTATTTAAAGAAAAAGTGACACTTTGGCAGACGAACTAATCCACTCCTTTTCTACGCTACTGGTAGAGGTGTAGTTAAAGTGTTTGGCGCCAGAGGACAAGCTTCATTTTATGCGCCCCCTTAACCTTCTGAACCCCATTATTTTCATCCTTTAAATTAAGACGCTAACTCTTAAAGTATCAGCAGACGACCAACAACAAATCCCATTGCAACCAAATAAGTTCAAACATTTAAGGTGACGTCCCACGGGCTGGTAACTGGGTAACTCAAACCTTTTTATTTCTTTATTTACACGTTAATTACTTTATGTTATTTAACTATCCCTTTTAAAATTATTTTTAAAACGTAAATTCTTATTTTTTTAAAATAAAAGAATGATTGCTTTTGAAATGTACGAAATTAACCTAGATTATTTTTTTAAAGAAAATATAATGTATCTTTTCTTACAATAATTAGATCTACTATGTTTTTGTTAAAAAAAATCCTTTCTGCCTTTTTGCTTGAAATTAGCATATTACAGCTTTTTAGTGGATTTTATGAGGTTTTATCGGGTTGAGAGAGGAGAGATGCAAGAGGTGTAGACATTTCAAATATGCATTATAAAGTATAAAGCATTTAAGCCTTTTCTTTCAGCCTGTTTGTATGGTTTTGATCTATATTTAATCTTTGCTCTATTTTGTTCTTCATTTTCATTTACAAAATTTAACTTCTTTTTGCTCAAATTATGCAACATTTTAAAGCTTAGCCTTTTTTTATTTAAAAAAGAAAAAGAAAAGAGTGCATAATAAATAAATTGTTTGTAAATTGTAAATAAAAGGTTTATTCCTTGTTCAACTTCCAAGTGACGTTACTGACACATGCCATTTGACAGCTTACGCCTCTTTGCGCATGCGTAAAGTCTATTTCATTAAAAAGAAAATATGCCGGCTTGCTTTTGTTGGCTGAGTTTGGAATAAAAGCATAAAATAGATTAAATATTTTTTTCAAATATCAAAATATTGAAGAAAAAGATACTATTTATAATTATATATAATTAAAACATCAAACAGTATGTAATTGCTATTTATTTTAAATAATTCTCTGATGTGCAAGAAAAACAAAGCAACATGAAAGTTTCTGAAACGTTTTATAATAAATGCTAGAAAATAGATTCTTGATTTTAGAAAAAAATGATTTTATATTTAAACATTTATTTTTTTATTTTAATTACTGGAATTTTTAACATGTGTGGTGACGTTTTATATGTCAGTCACTTCGTTTAACATTGCTGGCGAATGAATCCTGGTTATCATTGCAAATAGCTTGGCAGGACACTGACAAAATGGCCACCATCCGGCGGACTGACATAATACAAAAGAAATTTTCTAAAGGTAGGCCTGCAAAATCAGAACGTGAGCGAACAAACCGACGTCAAGAAGCTTACAAGTGGCGAGATGCACGTCGTATATATCTAGCAAGCTCTTTTGATCGTTGGAGGAAACTTCGGTCCACTTTAAAGTTGAAAGACTCCAGCCTGGCATGGCATTTGATGGAGGCTCACGAAAAAGGCCCGTGTTCCCTTTGCCGGTAAATAATACAAATCTCGTTTTTAGAATATTCTTGTTTGGCATATACTATAATTAATTTATTAAAATTGTTAAACTAGAGTATGGAAATTTTATTTACACCTTTAAGTAGTTTAAAATAGATGGTTGACGTGTCAATCCGAACAATAATTGACGCCAAGTCGGCAGATGTTTGACCTATTTCGTTTATTTTGTCATGTGTCATGCTATAAATAGCATGTCTGGGGCGAATAGTTTATTTATAGTCATAGTATAGTAGGTTCAGTGATAAAATAGTTTTATAATATATATTAATGTTATCTTATTATCTGTTGAAATTTAATTTTAACATTTAAAATTATCAAAATTATATGTTTGAAAAATAAAATAATATCTTAAGTCTTAAGAATTTTAAGTCATATTCATAGGTACTTGAACTTGAATACAAAATTTTAAAAAATTGAAATAATTTTTTTAATAACACAGTTAGAGCAAATTTTAAATCCAAAAAATGAAACCAGAATCAACTTTTTAGCTTAAGTCTTAAGTACTTTTTGAGCTATGAATTTTTAAAGTGTGAGTTTGTTTGGTATTTTTTTACTATGGACGAAACCTCAACATCTTTTGACCTCATTCCGCTGATCGCGTCATGCGCAATGACTATATACTTTATATAAGGCAACGCATCGCCTTATCACTAAAATACTGTTTAGGGTCGACTTAGTTTAAACTTTCAACTTTGGCACATGAATAATTAATTAAAGCTTTCCCTGACCAATGGTATAGTAGTTTTTGCACACAGCAAACTCTTATGAATGAAACTCTGAGGTAGTACTACGATACAGCCATTATGCAAGTGGCTGTGAATGGTTGCCAATGACAACGTGTTGCACACCGTAAATTCTTATCATTTATAATATGGACTCTACCGGGTTGTTAAAGCTCAAATTAAAACATTCCAGTTTAAATGTCTTCAAAATGCATTCTGAAACACAAGTTATCAGATATTTTGATGTAAAAAGTGGTAATAAATTAATATTTCCTAAGTATTGGCAACTTCCGCCATTAAAAAGGGGGCGTGGCCCACCCCATGGCGAAATTAGGTTGAGCGAACTGCATGACCTGCAGGGAACGCGTAGAAACATGGCGTCTATCATAAGACACGTATCGCTGTGAAAATTGGCATACATGTAGATCGATACATTCCGCAGATGCAAAAAAAATTTGGTGGTGACAAATCTTTTACTTCAACCTAATTTTAATGATGAAAGGTGCCTTATATTTACCAAGGATTTTCTCAAAGCTGACTGTTTGTAAATGAAAAAGAAATTGATTAAAATGTAGGCCAAGATGTCTACCTAATTATAAGGCCGAAAACGGAACTCAAATATATATCGAAAGTACTAATTTAATAATAAATAGACACACACATGGGAAAATTTAAAACTCTGATCTTTCGTCGCCGATTTCTATTTCCGATACACAAAAAGTAGTAGTCTCCCTTGTTTCATCGAAGTATCTAATATTCATCTAAGTAAGGTAGGCACTTCGGTAAAAAAGCAAAGTAAAGGCAGGAGATAGACCAGAAAGTAAATTTGTGCAAAATTAGAAAATGAGAAAATAAAAACTTTCATTAAGTAAAAATAAAGATGAAAAATAAAGTCTTTTGAAATACAGAGCTATAGAATAGACTCAAGTTGACCCAAGGGGAACCTCCATGATATCTATAGTCTATACTGTCAAACACATCGCAGGCTTTATCGCTAACCCAAAATCATCTGCCCCTTTGAAATATCACACTGACATACTGAAGTTTCAAAAAAAGGTTTAGGTTTTCTAATTTTACATAGGAAGCTGTACCTGCTCTCATGTCTATCATAAAAAAGTTTTAATTTTTTTCAAACTATCTGAATATCTGAAGCCTTTTAATTTAATGATAGGTATTAACAAATAGCCTTAGTTTGGTACTTTGACTGAAATTTTAAATATTGACTGAAATTTTAAATATAGGCTGATTGCCTTAAAATAATAAAAGATCTATTATGGTGAAAGTCTAGTTAGCATGGGTTTGCCAAGAGTTTTCTCACCCTAAGTGCAGTGACTTCACTTTGGGCAATTCCAACACTGGTCTTGGGGGGACAGTATAAACAATTGCACTTGAATGGTGTGTATGATAACTTACCCGTTCATCAATGAGCATTATTTGCGCCATATATTAAATCAAACCATCGATACAGTTAATATAAGGTATAGTAAATTAAAAGTTTCCATTTGTTTTTATTAAAATTCAACTTAAAAAGGTTTAAAAGAAATTTAAAAAGAAACTCATCCTTACTGATACTGTAAGATAAACATTGGAAACAAGACACTAGCATTGTTAAAAGTGCTGTCTTTTAATAGGTTGAAATTCCTATTCATATGCAATTTCTCATGGAATTTAAACATAAATTTCCCCCACTTTTAATACAAAAATAAAAAACTAAATGCTGGAGAGGGGAGACCCCTCCCCCAACTTTCAAGGCAAAAATAAAAAAACAAAATAAATCCAGAGCTAAAATTCTAAATCATTTAATTACGGAACTGTGGCCTGTGTTTGATCCGGAGAAACTCCATGACCTATGTACTGTGGAAGATATAGCAGGCCCTGTGGCTAACTGCATTTTAGCTGAAATATCATTTCAAAGGGCTGGCTATAAGCTTTCCAAAAAAAAAAACAAAAAAACACCAAGTTTATTTTTCTATCTTTTATAGAAGTTGAGTTATGATTTAAGAAAAAACAATTAAGCCCTGTATATAACTTTTGTATTTAAATGGGAAAACTTGTGACCAAGTTTAATAATTTCTGCTCTGTTTTGACCCACAACCTTTATATTTTAAAAGATAATTGTACCAATTTTTAGTTTAGGAGACATTCTTTTTAATGAATGTGTGAAACGGCAATATTTTAAAAGATTTACATGAAATTGTGTTCATATTTAATTTAATTCTATTTACAGACAAGCCAATGCTGAAAATGCTTTATACAAGCGAAATAAACTTCTGAAAAATGACCAAAAAGAATTTCTTCCGTCCTTAATAGCTTCAGTCAGGCAGTTATGTCATGCACACTTTGATTTTGAAGACACTATTGAAATTGTTGGACTTTTATGTTTAGAATTTGACAAGCTGAAAAAAGAAAAGTTTAGTCTCAATGAGTTAATTAAGTCTGGATTGAAACCTGCTCTTCCCAGTTACATATCTAAGAGTCTGCATGAAAATTCTAGTCTTTCAAACCCAGGGAACAAGTGTATTCTGCCAGGGTCAAATATCCAATGCCATGAAATTGTGAATGAAAATATCAAAAGTTTTCAAATACCAGAGACAATAGAATCATGTTCAAAAAACACATCTAATTTTGATGCTGAATCAGAAGGATCTAATATGAATCAATGTGATGATGTGATAAAAAAAGTTAACCGCATCAGCAACCCTGATACCTTCATGACTCTATCAATCTTAGATGATCCAGTGCATAAAACTTCAGATTTAAAAAACGGAATACCTTTTTCCAAAGATTCACTAGTTGATGAAATAGACATAACTGATCAAAATGTAAATATACCTTTTGATCAAAAGGCCATTTGTAAGACTTCAACTACTGAAGATTCTAACGACAGTATTAAATTGAAAGACAACAATCTTTCAAAGCAAATGAATTTTAGTTCATGCTCAGATACGGATCCATCTCTAGAAATTGACATAGAAAAAACTGACACTTCTCAGGAACCAGACTCTTTATATCTGTCATCAGAACCAATTTTAAATGAATCTACTGGTGGCAAGAACCATGTAATGAGAGAGGAATCTGAAATTATAGAAAAAGTTATGCAGGGCAAAGATATCATAAGCTCTCAATCTGAAATGAGAGCTACGGTTATGCAGGACGAAAATATCTTAAGCTCTCAGGGTCAGAGAGAAACCAAACACATGTGCAATAGTCTTGATTTAGCACATGAAACAGTAGTAGAAGAGCAGAGTTCTTTGGTTAAGGATGTTTCCAATCATCAAACAGGAGAATTACCCCTGGATATGTCTGTCTTAAAATCCACTGTCAAACAAGAGCCTTGCCATGATGAAATGTATTATCAAAGGTATTTTATTGTTCTCATTTTTAGTAACATAAGTATTTTGACCATAATTTTTAGCATACACAGTTTTTCTCTTCTTTTTGTTTTATTGTTGGAGTTTCAAAATTTATTTCATTTTAACTTATCCTTTCACTTAAATTTCTTTCTGAAGTCACACGCAATAACATGTAGATGTGATAAATTTCATTAAGAACTTTGACAACATTTATACTAATATTACTAATAAGCTGTGTTTAAAAAAAAAAAAATTAAGTATCTTTGACAACCCAAATCCTAAAAATCAATTTAGGGCATATATTGATTGGTCATATTGCCAGTTAGCTACGATTGTGACATGTGCTGAGTGACATTAACTAGCAATGAAAAGCAGATATAATGGTGTATCATGCACAGCTGTGCCCCTTGGGTAAGTTGTATAGATACATAGAAATTTTGTTCTTAAACTTATTCTCTTTTTATATCCTTGAAAAAAATGTCTCTGTAAATATTTCAGCTTTCAGGAGGGTCAAAGTGATATCTTGTATGACAGAGGAGGTGCAGAAAGCCAATTTAATTTAGCACAACAAACTCCCTCTCATAGTAAAAGAAAGGTAAGTTACTATTACTAATTATACCAAATAAAATAATTGTTTGATTCATGTGTGCTTTTATAAAAAATTACACTAATTATTGCTTTATACTTAACCCATTCAATACGTCACATTTTTTTAAGGGAACGCAGTAAAATTTTGGGACAAAAATTCTATTTGACCTGATGATTTTAAACTGAAAAGCTCTGTTTTGTTATTTATCAAAATTATATCATGCTGCATATCCAAATGTAGGTAATTGAAAAAGGAATATGTTTCTAGTATAAAAAAGTGATAAAGAAATACCCAAAGAAAATTTTTGGGGGTATTATTGCAGGTTTATGTAAAAAATTATTTAAAATTAATTTGGTTTTGCTTTACTCACCAGCTCAGAAATCAGATAACAATAATCCAATCAAGTTCATATTTTTTTTAAAATGAGTCTTGTGATACATCCAAAACAACTGGAAAGTTTCATTGCAGTAGCTCCAGAAATTGTAAAGTTATGAATTTCTTTCCCAAGACACGTGTTAAAATTTTTTTTTCAAAAATTCAACAATAAAAATAGTTATACTCAAATATTTACACATATTTCACATATTTACTAAATATATACACAAATGAAGTTATTATTTTAAATGAAAGGCCTTGAAGCATCCTTTAGGATGGAGATGGGGTTTGGATTCACACCCAGTACAATAGAAATGTGTGCGTACTCGCTTTATTGCAGTTGAGCAATATGCACAAGATCGGTCCCTTTCATGATAATCAACAATGTGCTGAGCATCATTAGACTATCACTATCACTATCACTGTTGTCAGATTTATCTTCATTTGAACTTGAATCGTCTAAGCAAATCAATTTACTTGCCTCATCGGCAGTCATAGATCGAAATCCTTGTCGATTAGAACTAGCACTGTTATTCGATGCAGCCATTTCAATCAGCTGTGTTTTGTTTACAAATTTTTAAGTGGAAAAAACGAGCACAAAATACACTAAACGTGGGTTATTCGGTTTAAAATTCAACACAAAGGAAGTGGAACTCTTCTGAATAAAAAATTGATAAGCTATATTATAAAATAGTTGAATGGAAAAGTTGGAATACTAATAAAATGAAACAAACCAGTGGTGACGCAGAGAGTGGCTAAACGTACTCTGCCGAAATCGCGGTGACGCACACTGCGGCGAAACGTATTAAATGGGTTAAATTGAAGTTGAAGCTTATTAGAGAACATTGATTATAGGGTTAACATATATTTTAAATTTATAAAAAATCATAGCTCAAGAATGTTTGAAAATGTGTTGTTTTTGTTTTGCCTATTATGAGTTTCTTAACAAAAGTAAAATTTAGATCTAGACAGACGATTTCTATCAGGGCCAAACAAAAGCATTTCAAGTGCTTTCAATACTTATCTCAAATCAATCTTACTTTTTTTTCTGTATCAAAACCAGGGGTCACCTACTTAAAAAGGAAACAATGTAAAATATAAGTATTGTCTTAAAATATTGTTTGAGAAAACAGATTAATTAATTTATTTGAATATTTTGATAAAATTACAGGTGACAGAAACAAGTCACATGGCATCACGAAGAAGCCCTCTTTGGTCTGAGAGTCCTCATAGTAAGTCAGGAAAGTTTAAGGAAGATATTCATGCAAGCATACCTTGGCAGCGGAGGGACATGTCACGTAAGGAGGAATATGAATTTCTTGAGTTTCACCCTTTCTCTGATCTGGCAGAATTCAGCCAACATTACCCTCATGTTCATCAGCGTACTTATTATAGATGGAAGCGTCGTATAAAAGAAGAATATATAATCCTGGAACAATGTCCTGATATGAGCTTTCAAGAGTTCAGCAGTGTTGTCCTTCAAGCCAAAGAATCAGTTTATCGTTTATGGAAATCTCTTATAGCTCAGGGGAAGGGATTTTTTGCACCCTCAGACTCGTCAAAACGGTTAGAGGCAAAATGTTCGCTTAAACCTAATATGCATAATAATGAATATATTTTTTTGCAGAAAAACCTGTCTGTAAACTATGAACAGTTCTGTCAGCAATATCCTGGAGTGCCAGTAGATGTTTTTAATGTGCTTAAGAGAAAAGTTATGCAAGAGTTTTGGTTATATTATCAAAACCAGCACATGAGCTTTAATGATTTTTCAAAACTTGTAAATATTTCTGAAGATGTTTTTATAGCATGGAGAGATTATGTTGAAAATTTGAAATCCAGCTCCATATCCCAAAGTTTGAAAACTGGTTCTAGAAGCATGTCTCCAAATCAGTCTGGGTCTGTATCATCATTTCAGTCCATGGGCAGTCCCAAGTCCTCTGCATCTAATTTACATACTCAGCTCTCTAAAGAATCTTTTTTTGGTATGATGAATGGAAATTCAAGTTTTAATGAGACCATGGCTTCCCTTCATGCAGGTGGTTTAAATCCAACTTTGAATGAGTCTGTTGCAAGAAATCTGTCTGCCAGCTATTTAGCTTCACTGCAAAATATGATGTTTCCATGGCCAAGCTATTATGGAATGGCTTCTCCCTTGGGACAACAAATATTGCCCATGATGCTCTGGCCACAGATGATGGGCTTGGCAGGAAGTATTTCGAACCCACTTGGTCTTTCAGGGCCTCATGGTGGAAACACAAGTAGTAGTGCTGTAACAAGTACGAGTGAATCTTCTTCAGGAAATGTCCAGGGCAACTCAGAAACTCCCACTTCAGATTCACCCGAGGAGCTCAACTGTAAATACCAAGGTACAAAAAGAGTGGCTGTGGATGAAACTGATAATTTAACAAAGGCAGATTCCTCTAGAAATGATAAAAAGGCTAAATTTTCACACGAGAAGGATGACCAAGAGTTTTGGAGTTCTGTCAATAGATCCAGGAAACAAAATAAACAAGAATATGTTTACTATCTGAAAAACCCTGAGCTTGGTTTCAAAGAACTTGAATCTTTATTTCCAACTATATCCCTGAGAACATTTTATAGATGGCGCAAGGAAATGAATGCTGCAGTAATGCTACTGGAAGACAACAGGGATATGACTTTCCATCAGTTTCAAATGGTTTTTCCTGATATTCCTGAGGAGGTTTTTGATTTATGGAAAGAAAAGTCCTTAAATGGCAAACCTTCTGAAGATGAAAAGTTATCTTTAGGTAAAGAAATAATTGGTTCAAATGATGGTTTAGTGCATATGGACTCAAAATGCTCATCACAGTTATTGACAGAAAATGCAAATGAAATTACAGATGAAGAAAATGTTAGCAGTCACAACTCTGTAAAGTCTCATGTGGGCTGCATTGGAGAAGAGACTATACATCATAGAAAATATAACAAAGAAGAGTACTTGTTTGTGCAGAAAAACCCAAGCATAGATTTTGCTTCTTTTTCCAAATTGTATCCCAACACCTCAGTGAGAAGTTTTTACAGGTGGAAAAAGGAATTGAAAGATACTGTTGATTATTTGAAAGCCAATCCCTCTATCAGTTTTGAGGCATTCAAAACCGTTGACTCCAGTGCCACTGAGGAAGTTTTTAATTTTTGGAAGATGTTTGCACATAATGAAGGTCTTATAGAAGACCCAGAAAACAATGAAACATTGGAGGAAAAAGAATCAAGAGCTCTGGGTTATTATAATAGGAAAGCGAATGGTCCTGAATATGGTTTTTTGCAATTAAATCCTTACATTGAGTTTTCTCAGTTTTCTCGCACATATCCGGATGTACCAAAACGAACTTTCTTTCGCTGGAAGCGTGAAATTCAACAGATTCTTAATTATGTGCGAGCCCAACCAACTATTGAATTTTCTGATATTGCATCAATATTACCAGAAGTTTCTCAAGAAGTATTTTTTAAATGGAAACAGATGGTATCAAGAGAAACGAATAAACCTGATTTTAAAAAATTTGATAATGATATAAACTTTAGTAGACATGAAGAGATTCCTTGCAAACCTGAAATAGATAAGCACACTAAGAGTGAGATGACCAAAGCTTTACTCTATCTAATGCACAATCCAACAGTTAGTTTCAGACAGTTCAATGATCTGTTTGAATTTGTCTCACCTATTACATTTGCATTGTGGCTTAAGAGAATTAAAACAGTTGTAGTTCATATTGCGGCTAATCCAAGTATAGATTATACTGCTTTTAAAGTGAATATAAAAGATGTTACAGAGGATATTTTTAACATTTGGAAAAATTTAAGCTCAGATGATGTCATTGCAATAGACATTGCTTGTGAAGAAGCTACAAAAATTGATAATAATAAAGTACACTGTTTGGATGACCACAAAGATATACCTCCTGATGAAAACCATTTGCAGGCAGGATATGAATATTGCCAGAAAAATCCAACTGTAACTGTGGTGGAATTTCTTTCAGTATTTCCAAGTTTATCTGAAAAATTATTTCATAATTGGAAGGTGCAAATAAAAGAAGAAATCCAGTTCTTGAGGCACAATCCGAATATTTCATTCGAGGAATTTTCAAAACTCTATCCTCTTGAGGAAGAGGTTTTTGACTTGTGGAAGTCAAGCACAATAATTAATATGGATGAACAAATTGAATACACTCTGGAGACATCAGATGTACATACCAATGATGGTTTTAGTGGTACTAAAGAGGAATCCTCAACTACTCTAAATAAAAAAGTCCTAGCAACTCATTACAAAAAGAAGAGCTCTGATACATTAGATAGCCAATCTAAGATGATGGAGGACAGAGAAGCTAATGAAATGCCAGGAAATACAAATTATCCTAATGACAGGTGTCCAAATCAGACATTAGAGGACAATTCGATAGATATGGCTAGAGAATCATCACTTAAGTTAGCTAAATTTGCTGAATCTGGTTCCCCGTACAATAAATTGCTTGACAAAAATGGACTAAATAATTTCAAAGCTGCTGCTGCTGAATTTTCAAATGAAAAAAAGACATCAACTCCAAACAAACCCTTAGTGGAAAACTTGTTCAAGAATAACAACAACAGTTTACCATTAGAATCTGCATTATGTTTATCTCCAATTAAGATGGAGAGTTTTCTTCAAACAACTAGCACTCCTGGTTCTATGCATCATGCCTATCCAAAGTCTAGTTCTGAACATGGGCTTGCTGCTTCAGATCTATATGGCACAAATATGCTTATGTCAGCTGTGCCCAATTCTTCTCTTTCAGCATTAATGGCCATGTCAAGAAACAGTGAGGCATCTGGCATTTTGAGCCAGGCTTCAGGAGAGAGGGTTATTCCGAAAAAAGAACTTTGCCTACCCCCTGTAAATAATTGGCAAGGCGCCAATTGGGGTCCCATCAAAGAAGAAGATGAAGCCTTTTCTTCTCAGCGCCAAAAAAAGATGAGTCGTGCTGAGTACATGTTTGTTAAAGACAATCCTGATGTCGATTCTCAAGAATTCTCTCGTATTTTTCCAGGAGTCTCAGCGCGCACATTTTACAGGTGGAAGAAGGAAATAAAAGCACAAATGCAATTGGCCTAAATTTGTTGATGGCTTACTTATGAATATAGCATGATTAATTGTATATGTTACTTTTCTTTTTCTCAAATATTTTAGAATTACACTTATAAAATTTTATGATGCTTTTTTAAAATGTTAATTTTGAATATATTAAAGCCTAATTTGCCTGTAAGAGCTACAAAATGATAAAGAACATGCAAAAGATATTAAAATATTAATTAATTGGTTAAGAATAATATACTCTGGCAATTTCTTTCTTTTTATGCAAAAAAAGTGGATTAGAAAAAGGGATTCACCATTAGTGTTCAAAGGTGTTCATTTTTTATTTTTACTTTAAAGGCATAGCCACTACTGCTTCATTATTATTTTAACAATTCTGTGTAGATATTGCATGTTCTTTTGATGCTGATTTCTTGTTCATTGGTTTGAATTTTATTTTATATATATATATATATATATATATATATATATATATATTAAGAAAGAATTCTGGAAGAGGCATAATTTAATTTGAAATGTGTTTGAAAGGGTTGTGAAGAAAAATTTAATAGGTTCTTTGCCACAATTAGATAAATAATTTTAATCTGATTTAACAATTTTAAAATCACAATATATGCATCAGTCTAATCAGTGGATATGAATTATTGAGGTGTTTTTGATAATTTCTATAACATTACATATTTTCAATGTGAGTTGAAACCCACTCTTTGAAAAGATAGTTCCCTGTATTGGTTTTAAGATATTAAAAAAAAAAATTCATGACCCACTGGCCTTAAGTCATGTTAAAATGTATCTCTGATAGCAAAATTTGGTCACATTTAAATGAATGATTCAAATAATTAACATTATTTATGGTGTCATTTGATTTTAATACACAATTGTTTATTATTTGGACTTAATATGGACATTTGTTTACTTACCTTCTTTTGAAAGAAGGTCACTGCATCTTTAAAGTACAGTGTGGGTGCCTTGAAAGATGAAAATTGCTTTGATCTCTTATGGGTTGTTTTTTAAAGCACTATAATAGTGACAATTTTATTTCCTACATTATGTGCAATAGTACATTGTTGTTAAATATCACCACATTTGTTACATATGTTGATTTTGTTTCTCTTGCATTGAGTAATGCCATATCATCCCTGGTCTTTTGTAGTTTAAAAAATATATAATGCACCATACCTCAACCATATCTTGCATCCAAAATTTCACCATTACCTGTCATTTAATTCAAGATTTACTTATTTTGGTTTTTACTATAGAGATCTCATTCGAGGTGCATTGCTGCTTCCGTGTGCCTATTTTTTAAGAATATCAATTGTAATGCGTAATAATGCAAAGCCAACAGTTGAAGTGAACTGCTATTGTAAGATTTTTTTTTTCAATATATATATTCTAAATTGATGGGCCCTGTGATGATTTATTTATAGTTGAATTTGGGTTAAAATTTCAGCATTATTCTATCAAGAATGCTGGAAAACCCTGCACCATAGTGCATCTATTTGTAATGTGTAAAAATATTAATACAATCTAATATTAATTAGATTTTTAAATTTTTTCTGACACCCTAATTTTCACCCTTGATCGAAACAGAAATGTGATGTTATTAAAAGGAAATAATGCTGAAAAGTGTTTAAAAGATGTTTCTGGAAGCTAATGTATTATCTCGTTTAAGATCAGCATTGACAATTTTATCATTTACTACATCAAAGTTAATATACACCAAACATTTAAAAAAATATTTCATAGATATATCTGTAATGACTGTAGTTATTGCAGAAAAATACATATCAGTTTTGTAAAGACTTATTAATTTTCTTTATCATCACTAGGGTAAAAGTGTACCTTTCACAACAAAGCAAAATCATTTAGGATTTCTTTCATTTTTCAATTGATTATTGTTTTGTTTTTAAAGTTTAGATGTTAAATACTTCAGTTATTCAGTTGATTTTTTATTACTAGTCTTCCATGTTGTGTCTTCAACATTAGACATATGCAGCTTTGCTTTGTCTTCATTTTTATGGGGTTATTTTTTTAAAATATTAATGATCGACTTCATTGCCATGTATATTTTCCTGGTTACTTACTGGCTTCCATTTAAAATTATTGTTTATGCAGAGTACTTTTTAAAAATAAAATTGTATATTTTAATTAATTAAATTTTATGCTACAAGTAATAATAATCTTTCATTCTATAAAAGATTCCATAACCTCAGCATGTAATAGGTAACATAATGTTATCAGCACTGCATACAACAAAGCTGTATTAAAAGTCAATAGTAATTTTAAAAACCTTTTCATTTACAGGATTTAGGACTCTGAACTGTTAAGGATATAAGCTTTAATGCTTTAGATTATATATCTTCACAAAATAGTTTGTTTAACCCTAGCTAGTGGTTTGTTGAGATACTCGCTTTTTTCTACATTTGGTCTTAGTAAGAGATGAGAGATTAGATCCCTACTGCTACTAGAAAAAACAGAATTGTTAAAGTTCAATGTGTCCAATTTACACAAGTTGGTTGAGTAAAGCCCTATGTTCCAAATCAACATTTTTTGCTATTATAAACTTGTAAAGGATTTTCTTTTTGTTACGGCAAGATGAAATACAGTGCAATCGATTGGAAATTAGAGAATGTAAATACTTTACAAACAGCTCTTTCCATAACAGTGAAATTCAGTGATTTTTATATCGTTCAAAAATAATTATCTTCCATTTCAAGATAGTGAATGATGTTTACCTCATATGTTGACCATGCAGTGATCCATATCTCAAATTAACATCTATGTGCCATGTAGACTTACATGTCAGAAATAGATGCATCATTTAGTTACACATGTTAAGCATTTATGGAGTTTAATTGATTGCATTTCAGAAACAGTTTTTAACAGATAACAGTAATTTGGTGTAATTATTATGGGTGTTTGATAAGCCACATTGTTAAATAATTTCAATGTCTGAATTGTTATAATACTATATTATTTTGATTTGTTAGGAAAAGGGATGTTAAATATTTTGTTTTCCATTTTTTTTTATAATAGTTATTACAGATGTAATGAAGAAAGCTGAAGTGTTGATAACAGAAACAAAAAAAAGGAAACGTTTGTATTATTCTTGTTTTATGCAGTACCTGTCTCAACTTATGAAATAAGTTCAGTACAGTGCTATTTGAGAGATACATTTAAAGCTTCAATTTAAATATTTTTTAAGCCCTTTTTTTTCAACTCTGCAATTTTCAGTATTGTAAGGATAGAAGTCATGGTTTGGTTAATTGGGGAAGGGGAAATTTCATTGGTTGGCTTATAACATTTCAATTATTAGGTACATTTTTTCTTCTCTGTCAACAATTATTTTTCCTGCAGAGACCATTTGCATTCTGATTCTTTGTTAACAAAGGAATAAATATATTTTTAGATGCTTTCTTTTTTATCTTGTAGCTAAAGTAATTTTTTGTGTGTGGCATCTATTATAAATCGACCAATTTTATAACCTTATAATTTTTTGTTATTTTACTTGATTAATTTATAAAAGAAACACAAGTATCTCTAGCTTTTTGATTAACTTGATGTCAGTAGCTCATGGCTTTAACTGTTAGTTTTTTTGTCACGTATAGTGCCTTTTTTAAATGCTGATTGGTTCCGATTGCTATAAATGAGTTGATTGGAATCATACTGTTCTTTATTATGTTACATTGCTTTATTCACAACGAGTATTAAATATTGCAAATGCTGTGTTTATATTGGTCAGAACTGCTATAATAGCTGGGTTTATTATTATGAAGATTATAATATAAGGGTGCAGATTTTTGGGTTTTGTCTGAAATCAACATTTGTATGTTTTTATGTACCAGTATCATATCTCTGAGCTTCCAGTCTCATTTCATAGCTTGGCTGAAAAGGGTTTAATTAAATATAATTTGAGACGGGGGGGGGGGGGGGGGGGGGGGGGGGGATATATGTATGAGGTTTAGAGTTTAGCCAAAGCATTAGAATTTATGTGCAAAGTTCTTGCTGCCCTTTTAACATATCCGTGTGAGGCTTAAATACAATTCTATCACAGCAGTAAACATGCCGAACTTTCAAATAGGAACATGTCACATTCTGGATTTTAAATTATTGGTACCCGTTATACTGCTTGTATTTAACTTGATAATTTTAACGTATTAATTTCTTAAAAATGGGAGGATGGGAAACAACATAAATTATTTATTTAACTGGACAGCTGTACTGTAATGGGTATTGGTCACGTCAAAATAGCACTTTAAATTATATGTTAGACATTTCACTTGATTTAACATCGAAGTGGTACATTAACCAAAGGCTTAGCTAATCCTGAATAAACTCCTTGACTTAATTCAGGCCCTATGAGCTAAATGCAGTTTAACTTTAAAAGCAATGAATAATTTTATTTTTTTGGTTGAATCTTGCATGGGACACTATTAAACTTTGGATTAGGTTGCCTTTACCTACTGTTATTTGGCTCAAAGATTGTATAATTTATGGATAGATGAGGTAAAAAATAATAATAAAGTATTAAAGTCATCAATGTTTCTAAAATTAGACACTTGGTTTTAATGAAAGACAGCTTATGGCTGATATGTGATTGGATAAGAATAATGGGTTGTTCCTATTATTTTCTCTAAGACTATGCCATTAAAGCTTATGCTGAACTTCATTTCTCTGTGAAATATGTGCATTTTTAAAATCATACATTTTTACCCATCTCGCTGCTTGAGAAAGGTTTAGACTAATATTATGCACATAATTGAGAACAAACACCACTTTTTCAACATTATGATTTTGAAACCACTTTTTATGTAGTATTTTTCCACCTTTTGAAGAAGATGCACCTCTTGTGATAGACTTACTAATCTAGATAAATAAGATATTTTTTATTTTCTCAAAATAAAAAGTTGTGAAAACCAGTTATGTTGTAATAGACTAGACTTAGATGGACTTGTAGAAGTAGTGATTTATTATATTTTACAATTCCTTATACAGTATTGTTTACGAAATGTTTCAAAGCA